AAGAACCCCCTCAATCCCCTCCTGCTTCCACTCCCCATTCCCCCGCTGCCTCTCCATCAGCACCCGCACCCCCCGCCTCAACACCTCCTGATCCGGAAACCCAGCTTCCAGCAGTGCAATCAACACCCACGCCGTCTGCACCACCTGACTACGCTCATGCGGCCTCCAAACCCCCTCCTCACACGACTTGTACGTCTCGCCCCACCCGCCATCGGCCATCTGGCGCTCGACAAAGAAGCGACAGGCGCGTTGGACGCGTTCGGAATTCGCATACGTCTCGCCGGCGCAGGCGAGGCTCTCGAGCGCAAACATGGCGGCGTAGCTGAAGCAGATGCCCCAGCTGCCGTACCAGCTGCCGTCGGGTCGCTGGGCGGCGCGAATGTAGGCGAGGGCGCGGGCGCGGAAAGCGGCGATTTCGGGGGCGCGGTAGGAGGGGTACAGATGGGAGAAGGCGTCGAGGGCGGTGAGGACGGCGGTGGTGCATTCCGGGTAGTCGTATTCAATCATGATGTTGCCAAACACTTCGGCGGCGTTGAGGTGTTCGAGCAAAGGGCTGCCGCGCGTCGGCTCGTACGAGGCGCAGCCGCCAGACGGGTTTTGCATGGTGAGCAGGACGTCGATGGCGTCTTTGATCCGCTGGTCGGAGACGAGGGGTGGGTAGTGGTGTTGGCTTTGGAGGATGAGGGTGGATTTGAGGGCTTCCGAGGTGCAGTCGCTGACTGTGTAGCCCTGCTTGCGCGTGCTGAAGCCCCATGCGCCTTTGCGTTGTTGGCGGTAGCAGGCCTGCTGGCCGCGACACTCTTCCAAAATCTGCTGGTCTTCGAGGAACTCGAGGGCCTTGTGGAGCATCGGCTTCCACTTCTCGTCCTCGCACCAGCCGCAGGCCTCGACGGCTTGGATGAGGAAAGCCGTGTCCCAGGTCTGCACACCGTTTGTGCCGTTCATGAGCATGCCCTCGTCCTTGACCCACAAGAACTCTGGCAGCGTCTTGAGATGCTCGCGGAAGTTGTGGGAATCAGGACCGAGCTCGATGTAACAGACAAGCGCATTCATCGGTCCATTTACCGGCCCCAGATTTGCGTAGTCGGTGTTGTCGTCTTCGGCCTGAACGAGCCACCAGACATGCTCCTCGGCACGCTTGATCATCCAGTTGGGGCGCAGGTAGGGCACCCAGATGGCCGCCATGAACCAGAACAAAACCTTGAGCAGCCAGGTCTTGGGATGGTAATTGTCCATGGGTGAGATTGTGTTGCGGTAGGCTCCAAAGTCGACCGTCTCAATCGGCTGTGGTATAAGCTCTGATCGCAACTGACGCGTCAAATCATTCAGCGGGTATGACCACCTCCTCGACCAAATCCACGACATGGGCAACATGACCTGCCGCATATGAATCCACCACCGCCATGGCGCAATCGGCGCCCAGTCTGGCAGTAGCCACAACTCGGGCGGTACAGGATTGACAACCTCCCACTCCGTCACGCCCAGCACGCTGAGCCAGAACTTTGCCCAATGGGGGCCATGCAAAGCGCCGCCCAACTTCCACAGCGTCTCTCTTGCCTTGCGCATGCGCGGGTCCTCGGCATCAACGCCCAGTAGTCTCAGCACGGTGTAGTTCATTGCGGTGCCAAAGACGCTGCTTTCGCCTTCAATGTGCAGACCCCATCCGCCGTCGTCGGGATGCGCGCGCGCAAAGAGGTAGTTTTTGATTTCAATCGCGTGCGAGGCTGGTATGGGTGTCTCGGTGACATACCATGTGATGACGAGGCCGGGCAGGAGGAACATGGGGCCGCCATATTCACACGCCCAGTTTCCGGGTGGCAGTTGGAGGTTGGAGAAGAAGGAGAGGCCGTTGTGGGCGGCTTCGAGGGGAGTCCTAGCTGGCTTGAGTTTGGGGAGGGCCTAGAAACGGTAGTTGTGAGCCTTGGAAGGCGTGAATGTAGACGACAGGCCATGAAGGGAAATCGAGGCGCAAGACTTACAGTGTCGAGACCTAGAAAGTACTTGTCCGCTGTGCTCTGCGGCCATGCCTTTACTTCCTCGTCGCTTTCGAGATAATGCCAGGTCTGACAGCCTCGGTCATCTCTGAGCCTCCATCTGCTGTAGTCTGTTTTCTCAGGACTCGCCGCTATTGTTGTCGGTATCGTCTTAACTCCGTTGTGGCCATTCACCCCCTCTTGCTTGTTCGAGCGGTTCGTCGCATTGTTCGCTGCCCCATTGGCATGTGCCATAGTCATCAATACGATCGCGTGCGTCACGAGCGTCGCACCAGGCTCATACGACCATGATAGCGGTGGCGGTGTAGTGCAGTGAATCTATATCGGGGCGAGATGCCTAGTCGGTATCCTTGGCAGGCACGGAGCAAGCTCTGGAGTAGCTACCGGTATGGCCAAGGCCAAAGAACCTGCAAGCATACCCTATTTGATACCACAAGGCTTAAATAATCACCAAGACAGCATTCACACAACAATAAACGCCCCTCATATATTCAATCCCTTCACAAACAAACAGCCTCACCAAGCCCGCCTCCCCCTTCACCCATCACACTCCCCTCGCACTGGACCCTGCCGATCATGCTCTGCTCAGCAAGCGCACGCCGCAAAGCTATTCCTAGATACGTACCCCGTATACAATCTCCCTCCTTCCCTCCCTCCCATGCCAATCTATTCCTGTCCAAACAAAAATCCCCCATGAACCCGTCCAAGCACCTCACTCCACCAGAAAGGCTGGGCCGTGTTTATGTGCGCGCGAGCGAGCGTGCGTGCGTGTGTATATTCCATCCCGTACCTACTCTAGGCAACTTATCCAACAATGTACAGCCTCGGAGTACTTGGCAGGCACACCACGCACATACCATGTACATGCACATGCACACACAGACACAGCACACGTGACCTGCACCGATCGACACACCACTTCCCTTTGGGCCTTGAGCTCGGCCAAGTCCCTGCACCGCACTGTGCTGTAAAGCGCCACCCGCCTGCGGTGCGTGAAGTATGCCGCGGACAGCGCCGGGGCCGGGGACCTCACTTGCCGCTCGTGAAAGACTCGTGGCATGAAACAAGCAAGAAGAAAGAAGCAAGGCTGTGAGGCGAGTATCCTATTCATTTCTGGTATGCATGCGTGTCATGGAAGGGTTGAATGCAGAGGCTGTTTGTGTGACAAAAGATGGGCTGGTTGGTGGGTGATTTCCGTTTGTTCTGGGGGTTGTGATGGGGAGTATATACAGTGTTATCTAGCGACCGCCCGGGCACGCATGCAGTTTGCATTGCTTCGTGTCCGGGTCGAAGAGAGCAAGAGAAAAAGAGTGTGTGTGGGTGAGAGACAGAGACAGAGGAAGTCGAAACAAGAGAGATGGAAAACATGCATGCAGCCAGCTATTATGCTCAAGACCCAATCCATGACCAATGAAAAAAGCCGCGCTCACCCATAAGAGGGAGGCAAAGTGTTGCTTTGGACGCCCATGATGAAATCAAAAGAAATATCGCCGTATCCCCCCCCCCACTGATGTTTGTGCCCTGGAAGTCTACAAATGCTGTGAAAAGTTGGAGAGGAAGAAAGTTGTGTACAAAATAAAAGAATCGTTGCCTCGGGGTATCGTAGAAAGTTCACACCGCCAACACAGTCTCCCTCTTCTCCTCCCTCTGTCTTTCTCTTTCTCTCTCAATCGCTGTCGTTGGCGTCGGGATTCGCTACAAAGAGTCGCGTGCCCATGTTCATTGTCCGTTCGTCGACACTGCCTCTTCGCACAAGGTCGTCTTTGGACACCTTCTTCTCTTGCGCCGGTTTCGGCAGCGAAGCCGGCATTTCGCCGACGCCGCCAAAGTTGCGTTCCCCACTGCTACCGCTGCCAAAGGAAAGATTGGTCTTGGTGTGTTCAAAGTAGCCGTGGGCCCCGCTGTCGTCTGGCGTCGGTTCTTCCTGGAGGTCACCGAGGTCTTCTGGGGACGAGTTTTGAGGCGGCGTCGAGTTGGACGACTGCCGGCCGGCGGGGTTGGCGTACGACATGCGGCGGCCAGACCCGAGGGAGCTGCGCCCAGAGCCAGAGCGATGGTGATAGGTCCCGCCATGCTGCGAGCCTGCCTCTTCGTCGTCGCCCTCGTCGACCTCGGAGGCACTGAGGCGCATGGGCACGCCAGAGCCGGCATAGGTGACGGGTGCGTAGAGCGAGGCTTTGGGGAGGCCGTGGTGACGGCCAATCTTGGATCGGACGCCGCCGGCCATGCTCGAAGTGCCCGACGCACTTCTGGGCGGCACATGGTGTGGTCCGCCGGCGACCTCCATGTTTGCGCGCATCTTCAGCTGGCGTTGCTGTGCCAGGATGCGCGGGTCCTCGTACTGGGCTCCGGTCGACACCAAACGGTAGCTTTTTGTTTGCGCATGAGGGCGACGTAGGAGGTGGGCGAGCTGCCACCGGAGCGCGAGGAAGACGAGCGGCGAAGGGCAGCGCCACTATTGGAGCGATTGGGGGTGCCGGTGGTGGAGCTGGTGGACGAGGTGGGCGTGCGGCGCAGACCACCGCCCTGGTACTGCATGGGGTACTGCTGGTGGGAGATCATGGTGTTGGAATGGGTGGGCGACGGCGCGGCTGGAAAGAGGTTCGACGAGGTGGTTCGGGATCGCGAATGGCCCATTTGCGCGTCCACATGGAATTGTTGCGACGGCGGGCGGGCGGCGACACCGGGGTTGGCTATGGGCTTGCGGCGCACTGGAATGGGTCCATAGGCAGACGAGGCCTGCGGGGGCTGCATCACGGCCGCCTGCATGTTTATGTGCAGGGACGCTGCTTTGCGTGCCTCGCTTGACAAGACCTTGGGCGGGAAATGAGAGGCAGATCGGCGTGCTGACGTCAAATCGACTTTCTACGTTTCCCCCTCCCCCCAAAATAAAATAGAGAGAGTGTGAGTGAGAGAGAGAGAGAGAGAGAGAGCGAGGACTGGCCGAGACAAGTGAGTGGTGAACGGGGGTGGAGGGGCTTAGGTACAATAGGCTAACACACAACGCCTGCGAGCGCTCGGCGGCGGCTTGTTTTTCCTTTAAGTAGTTTTGCGCGTGGATGGATGGATGGAATGGTCGTCGACGTCTTGCCCGCCTGGCAAGTAAGGCAGGACTGTGTGCTTGGCGCCCCGCTCGCAGCAACGCGGTCCTTGCGGCACAGGCTTCCACCTGCTTCCGGGCGATGATGGCCTGATGCGAACTAGAAGCCCCAGGCAGGAAAATGAGGTGGTGCTGAGCACTTGGGTGAGCGTCTTCGGCTGTCAGACGGGCGTGCCGGAATCTTCGAGAGGATGTGGGACTGGGGGGGTGGGAGACAAGGCCTTCCCAATCGAGGAGCTATCGCGGGCAGCAAGGTGTCTTTGAATCGAAGATTGTGTGTGCATGTACTACTGCTTGTCGGTATGTAGGAGTCGTGCTATCACAGATCTCGATATCCAGCTAGAAGCCAGGGGAGGGGTTCGAAAAATGGCTCAAGTCTTCAATTGTAGGTGGGTAGGTGGGTAGGTAGGTAGGATGTAGGTACAGTACCTAGGTAGTATGGGGGGGGTACACACAAACACAGACAGATGACAGTAGCAAGGAGGGTTCACTGCACAGTATGTGTACCATGGGAAAAACCAAAGGGCCCCGTTAGGTTGTTGTTGCCAACACGGCGGACAGACAAGCCATTTTGAATAGTTGGGGCGGATGGATGGTGGCCCGCCGCGCCCCAGCTGGTTCCACGGCTGTTTGCAGCGATAGGGAGCCATGGATGGAGCCATGGAGCCATGGAGCCATGGTGCCATGGTGCCGCCAATCGCACCAGCACAACGTGGGAACAGCGCGGGTGGGCAAAAGGCATGGCATGCGGCGCCAGAGCTGACTTACCTACCGTTCGCACCATGTCCTCACTAGAGTACAGAGATGCGTCGTCGGTTGATCCAATCCGACGTTGCAGCCGCACCACACGCTGTCGGCTTTGTGCCTTTTCAGCTGGCCACTGGCCTAAGAACTTGCTAGCATGTACCTACCATGTACACCAGCAACTCCCCATCTACTCTAGCAACAGTGCACAACACTACCCGTACCCGAAACGTGAAACGGCGAGGCAAAAAAAAAGGCCTGCTCTGCATCGTTCAAGGGAGCCGAAGGCGGATTGGGAAGGGGGAGGTTTGCAGGAATGTGGGCGAAGATGGATGCGGTGTACAAGCAAGCTTCACCATGTTGAAACCAGCGTCTCTCTCTCCCTCTTTCTCCATCTCTCACTCTCTCCCTCCATCTCTCTCTCTCACACACACACTCACACACATTCTCTCCGCAGCGTGGCAAAAGACCCAAACTCTTTCGCATTCCTTGCCGCTTGCCGTTGAAGGCAATTGCGCTAGAAATCTGTGAACCGAACTTTGTCTCCACCCACCCGCTCTCCATGACGAAATCCCCTTCTCCATCTCTGATGACGGCGCATTCAAAAAAGAAGAAACTAGAGTAGATACCTTGATGGCGGCGCTTTGCCCGAGTGTAACCCCCCCAACCCCCCCTCTTCCTCTCCTCCGTGGCACGGCCATAACACACCTCCATTAACCCTACAAAAACCTGATTGCAAAAAGTCGATAGATGTGTAAAAAGTCACCCGCCCGCACTGTAGCCAAAACAGCCGCCCAGCGCGGACACCATGTTCATGTCGCCTGCCCTGCGGTCCATCAATCTCCCGTACTAGGGCCGCCCGCCGAGTCCACCCTGGAGAGGGGGAGGCGGGCGGCGGCCTGGTCTAGCATGCATGCATGCATACAACACAATATCGCATACCCATCGCTTCCAGCACGAATCCAAACCGAGTCTCTCGTCCGTGTCAAACCCTCCAGGTACAACAAAAGGGCCAAGCTCTGCATCTGGGGTACTCTGCCGCGGAGCGAGGGGGAAGAAACGAATGATCGCCTGGGTTCCAAGCATTCGCCTAGAGATATGCTCATGTTCCATGCCGTGCCGTACTCGTACACTCCCCTCCCACACTCCCATGGACAAAGAAACGACATGTCCATGTCCCTTTTGAAATGCATCTTTGCAAGGGAAGGTTATGCACATGGTATTGTACCGTGTATACCGTGTATACCGCCTCTAGGTACTACTACTATACCTACCCCCCCCCCTCCCTCCCCGCTCTCTCAAGCGCCGGCGCCGCTCACGAGAATACGAGACGATGACCTCAAGCTGCAAATGTGCTTATGGTTCTGCTTCCAAATGCCTCAACCCAACAGCACCGCACCGCATCCAAGCAAGACACGGTAGAGCGGCAGGTCGGCCATATCGGCGCGCAAACACCCCCTGCCCCAGTCCTGCGGTCGCTGTCAGGGTACATGGAGTATATACATACATACTAGAGTACTGTACTGTACTACTGTGTAGCGACCCGTGTGCGCACCTCACCCATGCAACAAGCCGCCATGTTTCCATTCGCCACCTGTCCGCAAGTTTGGCCACCGTGATGTTGATGTCGATGTTGATACTACGAGTTTGCCTGTCTGCGCCGCTTCCTTTGTTCGGGGTCGAAGTGGGGGTGGGGGTGTGGTGGGTCAATGGTAGACCTACAAGACATAGGGTACACACAAACACAATCACACACCCACACAGCACAAACAATTCACCCCAACATCACCATCACCATCCCACGCACCTCTAACCTCTCCCCATGCCCCCGCTTCCCACTGCATACATGTGCACACATGCACACATGTCCAATCATCTCCCCATGGTACCTAGCTACCCAGCTAGTCAGTTGGCTGACCAAGCAACCCCCCTTCCCGTCGCAGCCAGCACGCCGATCGAGTCCGCCATCGCGCACATGCTGAGTTTCCCTCGTCCCGTCACTCGGACGACGACATGGTACTGCAGGCGGCGTGGAGGTGTTTGCTGTATCGTGCGGGTTGTAGTTGGAGATGGGGGTGTGGATGTGGTGTACATGGGTGAACAGACAGCATAGGGAATGAAATCACGACATCTACCTACCTCCCCACCATCAACGGCATCCAAGCTGCCAGCACCAAGCACCCTCAATCAAGGGTGATGCGGACGAATTGCCCGTCAACACTATAGAATCATCTCCATCTCGTTCTGCATTTCTTCCAAACACGCGACCAGAGCGCAACAAAACATACTCGGCCGAATCGATCTATTTTTTGGGTTATTATTAGCAATG